TGTGGGTACATTAAACACTTTACAACAGCAAATAGGAATGGAAAATGTATATAAGGCCGAGATTACAATGCTTTTGATGGGGAGCTGGGAGAGAAGGGGGAGGGGGATAGAGGGGAGAGGGGAGGTTAAGAGTATAGAAAGGGATGCTGTACAAAGGGAAGGGGGGTGGAGGCATTTGCTATGCCACAGAGATCTTTGGAAGCTCTTGAAATGTTTGGGTTTTTTTAATGTCAGTTGCGGCGTTTGATGTGATCTGAGATGGGTGGCTATCTCTCACAGCATCTGCTGTCATCCGAGACGGGTGATAGTGCTGTCTCTCTCACAGCATCCCCTGTCATCTCAGACGGGTGTTGTTGATGATAGTGCTGTCTCTCTCACAGCATCCCCTGTCATTTGAGACAAGTGATGCTAGTGACAGTACTCTCACAGCATCCCCTCTCATCTGAGACAGGTGATGCTGGTGACAGTACTGTCTCTCTCCCCCCATCATCTATGACAGGTGATGCTGGTGACAGTACTCTCAAGCATCCCCTCTCATCTGAGACAGGCGATGCTCCTGACAGTACTCTCACAGCATCCCCTCTCATCTGAGACAGGTGATGCTGGTGACAGTACTGTCTCTCTCACAACATCCCCCATCATCTATGACAGGTGATGCTGATGACAGTACTCTCACAGCATCCCCTCTCATCTAAAACAGGTGATGCTGGTGACACTGTGTGAGGCTATAGGCCAAAATCATTAGCCATGCTCACACCTTTCTCACTCACTAGGTTGCTAGGTAAACGATGCGATTATAGGCACCTAGCAGGGCGACGTTTCCACCGGGTCACAGCCTTTCGCTCTGCGTAGAGCCACGTCAAATCAGAGCGAAAAGCTACCCTGGCCGAAGCGTGTCCTGAAACGCACTTCCTCTCCTCACCACTGAGGCTGTACACGAATCTAAACACCAGGAACACCCTGGGGAGGTGGGGGACCACCGCGATGCACACAGTGTAATGTACCATGTTTCTTCAACGCCAGGTCGCATGCTGTTCATCAACACGAGGAACACCGTGTGTGGGAAGAGTTCCATCGCTGTACACATAACGCGACACCTTACACCGAGAGGTCCACATCGAAGTTCTCTGTATCCAGTTAGAACTGAAGTCCTTGACTTCAATCCACTCGTTGCTATTTTAGCGTCTGGCAAAATCCATTCTTGTCCTGTTTTCCCTGTCGGACACGCGGAATACAGCTCCTGGCCCGCGAGATGCGGTTTGGACACACGGGATGGGGTCTGGATACGTGGAATGTGGTTCTAGACACATCACCGTGTGGTTCGGGGAACATGGGGTGCCAACCCTGGTACACGGAATGTCTTTTTCTGGCACAAGGAATGTGATTTCTGAGACACGGAATGTGATTTCTGACACACGGAATGCTGTTTCTGACACACGGTATATGGTTCTGACACACGGAATGTGTTCTGACACACGTCTTGTAGTTCCTGGCACACGGGATGGGGTTTTCGTCACATGGGATTTGTCAGTAATGCCGCCTCACTCACGCCTCAGGGTCTTCGGGGCGTGAGGCTCCCGCTAGACGTCAGCGCCCTCCTGATAGCCCTCATCAGGAGAGTCCCTTGCGGTGATACGCGTCAGCTTGTTGCCGTGGTTTAGCAGGGGTTGCGGCGGTGGCACGCTGGCGGGCGTGGGCGCTGCGCTGTACAGCGTGGCCCCGTAACTCCTCCGTTGCTCATGCGAGGCGACAGGAGAGCCCTCAGAGCCATAGTGCCACGCCCGTGGATGTCGCATCAACGTGGGGGTGCCATCCCCCGGGATGACTTCGGGGACCGATCTCATCTTCATGGAGCGTGGGATGGTGCCATAGTGAGGCACCGGAAGTCCACCGAGGGAGGTGTAGGTCTGACCAGGACCTACTTGACTAAAGGAGAAGATCTCCGAGTAGTCGGGAGCGAAGTCTGGCAGGTAGGAGAATCTGTTGTTGAGATGTCTCTGGGAGGAGGACATGAGGCGCTGTTGCACAAGGGCGTCGCAGGTGGGTGTGAGGGGGTCGTGCAATGACGTGTGCATCACGTTCTCCGGTGCTGCTGAATCTAGAACGGCGTGAACACGTTCAGGCTCCCACACGGAGTCGAAGGGGCAGCTCAGGGGCGCCCTATCGCCGTCTAGGGACACGGTGTGGCTGCGACTCTGTCCGTTGTGTCTGGGAGTCGTGCTGCACGTCGATTGTTGGCTCCCCTCGTCTGTAGTGCAGCACTCTCCGTCGGAATGCTGGTCCGCCTCGCACAGCAAGTCTGGGTTATCCGTCGTGGCCACGACAGATCCCCCCACGTACGCCGAAGGCGTGTAAGGCAAGTTCCCGATGCGTGTTTCCGTCGCTCCGTTCACCGTCACGGTCTTTATCGGTAAAGGAGTGTGCGCACGGCGCCGGCGCGCCCTTACAGAACACACACCCACAACAATAGCCACCACCACCACAATAACAGAAGAGACAGCGGCAATCTTATCAGCAGAGAATCTTAAGGACACTCTGTGAGCCACAGCCAGTTCGAATGTAGCAGAAGCCGTGCCAGCAGCGTTGGAGGCAATACATCGTATAATAAGTCCAGTGTCTTGACTCTTGGCACCCACCACAAGTAATAAGCTGCCTCTCTCCTCGCTTGCTTCGTTTAATATGTAGCCATGACCACCGCCCTCACCCACTGATGAACCATTCTGGACCAGTGTGTCTTTGACCTGCCAGGACACTGCTGGGGTGGGCAGGCCGCCCACTGGGCACCATACAGTGGTGTTCTCACCCGCCGTGCCCTCAATCTTCCTGGTAGTGGGTAGGATTTCCGGTGGACAGGCGAACTCACTCTCGTCTATTTCGTCGAAGTTCTGTCCCTGGATGCGCAACGGCTTGGCGCAGACGGGTGAGACGGAGTGCGGGACGCGGCGCACTACCAGCCACTCCCTCAGCTTTCTCAGGCGGCAGTCACAGATCCAAGGGTTCTCGTAGACAGTCAGTAGATGAAGGCTTTGTAAACTGTCAACCAGGCGAGGCTGGAGCTCTGTTAACTTGTTAGAGTGAAGTTTCAGCTTTTCCAGTAACCTTAGGGGGTCAAATGCTCGCATCGCGATGGTTTTGATGTTACACTGGCTGAGATCGAGTGCTTTTAGGGAGGAGAGCTGGTTGAAAGCGTCCACATCGATGTGCTGTATGGGATTACTACGCAAATATAACTCTCGCAGCTCCGGCGTGTGTCTGAAGGCTTCACTCGGCACCTTCTTTAGCAGGTTCTCGCTCAAATCCAACTCCACCAGGTTGCTTAACTCGCAAAATGCCTCGTTGTCCACCTCTTGCAATTTGCAATCGGTCAGATAGACCTTCTGGAGGTTAGTAAGGCCCTCCTGCGTGAAGGCCAGGCGAGGGAGTCTCTGAATGTTGTTATGCGACAGATCAAGAACCTGCGTAGCGGGGTTGATGTTTGTAGGGAGTGTGTGCAGACCCTTGTGACGGCACTCTGCCGTCTGCTTGCCATGCTTCCACTTGCAGGAGCAGAATGAGGGGCAGTCGCTGGCAGTGACAGCAGCGGCCAGCAGTAGTGTCAGCTGCAACAGGGGCCCAGGGGGATGCATGGCTGACGGATCACTCCAAGTCAGCTTCACCAGCACCCACCTCCCTCATCCTACACACAGACACAAGCACTTCAGAGAGCGAAGTCTCTTACCACTGTAACATGCATCTCTCTTACTTTTTTCCAAACGATCCATCGTCTTTCGACGCCACAAGAATCACGACATTTCGCACTATCGTTCCCAGAAGACAGCATTCAGTTTTCACAAGAAGTAAACCCCACACGTATCCCAGGAACTCAAAACAAGCGATATATTCGGGCCCCCAACTATTCTAAATTTACATAGAAGTGATTTATAGTGCTGTTAATCTGGCCAAGGCAGTGCGCACTCATTTCCACTCCCTCGGCAAGTCTACCCACACCTCTGGAACGTGCACTCGCGCTCTGAGTACACTTGCACTCGGTCTTAAAGTGGATACAAGGGATTTAAAGAGCACTTTCACTCGTAGTGGAAAGTCAGGTGGAGTGAAAACACTTCAGTCAACTCTTTAAGTAGAAGAGATGGAGCACCAGCACTCCACGCTACCTCAGAGTGAAAAAAAAACACATCCACTGAGTGCTGGAGTGAAGACACAGTGAATAGACGGATGGCTGTAGATCGCCAGCTCCTGGACCATCCACTACCTCCAGCCACTTCCCGCTAGAGACAGCTTGGTGAGGAGCGCCCGCACTCACTCCTGCACTCTAGACAGCGGTATATCTGCACACTGTATATCCCAGCTGAGAGTCAGGGCTGTCATATTCACGCTTCATATGTACCTCACCCACTTCTCAACCCATTTCACTTCTTTCCACTTCTTCTCTTCCTCTCAATATAACCTGTAATAAAAATGTATGTATGAGAATGATGTATATGAATACAGAAATACATGTATAATACATTTGAATAGATATTCATATGAATTAACACACACACACACACACGCACGCACACACACACACACACACACACACACACACACACACACACACACACACACAAACACACACACACATATATATATATAAAGAGAGAAAGAGATAGATAGATAGATAGATAGATAGATAGATAGATAGATACACAGACAGATAGATAGGACATTAGGGTACATGCCTATCAAACAGTTCAGAGTCGACACGGTAATTTTGTGTCAGTACACGGTGTCAGGAGGCAGTGCACGGTGTCAGGAGACGGTACACGGTGTCAGGAGACAGTACACGGTGTCAGGAGGCAGTACACGGTGTCAGGAGACAGTACACGGTGTCAGGAGACAGTACACGGTGTCAGGAGGCAGTACACGGTGTCAGGAGGCAGTACACGGTGTCAGGAGGCAGTACACGGTGTCAGGAGGCAGTACACGGTGTCAGGAGACAGTACACGGTGTCAGGAGACAGTGTACGGTGTCAGGAGGGAGTACACGGTGTCAGGAGACAGTACACGGTGTCAGGAGGCAGTACACGGTGTCAGGAGACAGTATACGGTGTCAGGAGGCAGTACACGGTGTCAGGAGGCAGTACACGGGGTTCCCAAAAGCATAAAAAAACGGTTCAGGGCATTACACGGGTCGAGCTACACGTGTCAAGGGAGTACACGTGGTCAGGAGGGAGACAACGGTGTCAGAGGGAGTACACGGTGTCAAAGGGGTACAACGGGGTTCAGGAACAGTATAAAAGGTCAGAACATACAAAATGTCAGGGGGCAAAACGTGTCAGAGACATACAAAAGGGGTCAAGAGCTTACACTGCAGGAACAGACACGGGGTTCAAGACAGTAAAAAACGGTTTCAGGGAGGCAGTACAACGGTTCAGGAGCAGTACCCGTGTCAGGAGACAGTATATCGGTTCGAACAAAGAAAAACAGTAAGAAACTGAACAAAAGACAGCAAACAGTAGAATACTTTTGAATCCTTTTTCCTTTTAAAGGGTGGGAAAATTTTTTACACAGACACTCACGTAATTATCATAGTAAGGGGAACCTGGAAAGGTATCGGCGCATACCCGAAGCTCCACCTGTGGGTCAAGGGTAGGGCTGAGCACCTTTTACAAACAGACGGACTGACCACCCTTTTAAACAAAAAAGAGGGGCTGACACCTTCATCAAGACGAGAGACTGACCACCTACAAACTGGGGCTGATCACCTTCTATCAAACGAGGGACTGATCCCTTCATCAAAACGAGGGACTGATCCCCTTCTATCGAGACTGAGGACTGTCCATCTTCTACAAACTGAAGGGCTGACCACTTTCTTCAAGAAAGGGGCTGCCACCTTTTAAACCAAGACTGAGAGACTGACCCCTTTTACAAACTGAGGACGATCACCTTCTATCAAGACTGAGGGGCTGACCACCTTCTATCAAGACTGGGCCGATCAACTCCTACAAATGAGGGATGACCACCTTCTATCAAGACGGGGGCTGATCACCTTCTATCAAACTGAGGACGACCACCTTTTATCAAACGAGGGACGACACCTTCTATCAAGACGAGGGACTGATCAAACCCTTTTATCAAGACTAGAGCTGACACCTTTTATCAAGACGGGGACTATCACCTTCACAAGACTAGGGGCGCCACCTTTTTACAAGACTGAGGGGCTGACCAAACCCTTACCCAGACTGGGGACGATCACCTTTCAAGACTGAGGGGCTGACCACCTTCCAAACAAGACTAAGAATGATCACCTTTTATCAAACTGAGGGCTACACCTTTTAGGAAGACGAGGGACTGAATTATAATATATGACAAAAATTTTTTAAAAAAAGATCCCTTCTATAGACTGAGGGGTTAATTATAATAATAATTTCATCAAAACATGGGAAAAATTTTTATAATAGGGATTGAAAATTTTAAAAAGGGGGGATCATTTAAATGAATGAATTCCCCCTTTATAAACTAAAGGGGAAATTTTAAATAGGGGAAATATTCTAAAATACTTTACCTTATTAAATAGGGAACTTTAAACATTCTATTAAGACTGAGGGGTGATCATTTTTTATAAGACAACTTATTTTCACCTTTTAAACAAAAATAGGGGCTTTCCCCTTCTATTAAAACTGAGGGACTGATCACTTCTATAAACTGGGCTGTCAAACCCCATAAGATGAGGGGCACACCTTCTATCAAACGATGGGGGGACCCCCTTCTATAAACGGGGGGACTGACACCTTCTACAAAAAAGAGGGACGACACCTTCTAACAAAACTGAGGGACTTCACCTTTTTACAAACAGAGGACTGAACCAACCCTTTTATCAAAAACGGGACTGATCACCTTTTACAAGACGAGCTACCCCTTTTATAAACTGAGGGGCTATCACCTTCTAAAAACGAGGACTGACCCCCCTTCTACAAAAACTGAGGGGACGACACCTTCTATCAAGCGAGGGACATCACCTTCTAAAACGAGGGACTGACACCTTCCCATAAGACTGGGGACTGTCACCTTCATTAAATGAGGACGACCCCTTCTATCAAACAAAACGACCCCCTTTTATAAGCGAGGACTGACCCCCTTTTTATCAAACTGGGGACGATCACCTTCATCAAACGGGGACTACCCCTTTTATCAAACGAGGGGCTTGCCCCACCTCTAAAAAAGACTGAGGGGCTAAACACCTCTATCAAAACTGAGGGACAACACCTTCTATCAAGACTGAGGGGCTTCCCCCCTTCTACAAACTGAGGGACTGACCACCTTCATCAAACTAGGACTGACCACCCTTTTAAACAAAACTAGGACTGACCACCTTCTAACAAACTGGGACTGACACCTTCTATCAAACTGAGGGGCTGACCCCCTTCATCAAAAACGAGGGGCTACACCTTACAAAACTGAGGGGCTGACCATTCTATCAAAATGGGGAAAATGACCACCTCTTTACAAACTGAGGGCTGATCACCTTCTATCAAACTGAGGACTACACCTTCTATCAAGACTGGGGGGGGACTACCACCTTCAATCAAGATGAGGGACTGATCACCTTTTTATCAAGACTGAAGGGGCTGACCACCTTCATCAAAACGAGGGGCTGACCACCTTCATCAAGACTGAGGGGCTGACACCTTCATCAAAACTGAGGACTGACACCTTCTTCAAGACTGAAGGACTGACACCCCCCTTCAAGACTAGGGACTGACCCCTTCTATCAAACTGAGGGACTACCCCCTTTAACAAGACAGGGACGACCACCTTTTCCCCATCAAACTGAGGGGGTGACCACCTTACAAATGAGGGGCTGACACCTTCTTCAGACAGGGGCTGATCACCTTCATCAAACGAGGGGCTGACCACCTTTTATTAAGACTAGGGGCTGATCACCTCTATCAAACTGAGGATGACCACCTCTATCAAACTAGGGGCTGACCACCTTTTATCAAACTGAGGACTGACCCCTTCTACAAACGAGGGGCTGACCCCACCTTCTACAAACTGAAAAACTACACCTTTTATCAAGACGAGGGACTTGACCACCTTCTACAAACTGAGGGACTGACACCTTTTTCCCAAAAAGAGGGACTGACACCTTTATCAAAACGGGTGATCCCCCTCATCAAAATGAGGCGTCCCCCTCCAAAACTGAGGGGCGATCACCTTCAAACAAACGAGGACGACCACCTTTATAAGACGAGGGGCGACCCGTTCTATCAAGATGGGGGACTGACCACCTTTTATCAAGACTGAGGGACGACACTTTTTATCAAAAGAGGGCTGACCCCCTTCTATCAAGACTGAGGACTTACCACCTTCTATCAAGACTGAGGGGCTGACCACCTCTACAAGGGGAGGGACTGACCACCTTCTATCAGATGAGGGACTGACCCCCTTTTATCCAAGACTGAGGTGACCCCTTCAAATCAAACTGAGGGGACTGAAACCCCTTTTCTATCAAAGAGGGGCTGACCACCTTCAATCAAGACTGAGAAACCCCCTTCTATCCAAAATGAGGGACTGACCACTTTCTAACAAGATGAGACTGACCCCCTTCTAAACAAAACTGAGGACTGACCACTTTTTTATCAAATGAGGGGCTGACCACTTCATCAAAAATATACTGACCACTTTTAAACAAGACGAGGGGCGACCACCTTCACAAGAGATGGACTGACCACTTTTTTCAAACAAGGCCGACCCTTTCTATCAAACGGGAGACACCTTTCATCAAAAGATGACTGACCCTTCTACAAACAGGGATTTACCACCTTTCATCAAGACTGAGGCTGACCACCCTTCAAAAAAGAGGGACTGACCACCTTCAAACAAGACTGTGACGACACTTTTTATCAAACTGAGGGACTGACCACTTTTATCAAGATGGTGGGCTGACCACTTTCATCAAGACTGAGGACTGACCCTTTTTATAAACTGAGGACTTAAAAACCACCTTCTATCAAGACTAGGGGCTGACCACCTCTATCAAACTGAGGGGGTGACCACCTTCTATCAAGACTGAGGGGCGACCACCTTCTTCAAGACGAGGACTGACCACTTTTTTCAAGACTAGGGACTGACCACTTTTTTTCAAGCTGATGACTACCCACTTCAAAACAAACTAGGACTGACCATTCTACAAACTGTGATGACCACTTTTTAAGACTGAGGGGCGACCACCTTTTATCAAGACTGAGGGACTGACCACCTTCTATCAAGACTGAGGGACTGACCACTTTCTATCAAGACTGATGGACTGACCACCTTCTATCAAGACTGAGGGACTGACCACCTTCTATCAAGACTGAGGGACTGACCACCTTCTATCAAGACTGATGGACTGACCACCTTCTATCAGAGACTGAGGGACGACCACCTTCTATCAAGACTGAGGGACTGACCACCTTCTATCAAGACTGAGGGACTGACCACCTTCTATCAAGACTGAGGTTTTCTATCTTTTCTTTTATCTCCTTGTTTCATTTCCTTCTTTCATTTCCTTCTTTCATTTCCTTCTTTCATT